TATATAAATAAAAGAATGAAGAGAGGAATCATTCTCACAGTATACAAATACTTTATAATGTGCTTCTTACATTTAATATATTGTGAACAACATCTATGTCATTATGTATACTTTTATGCCGGCACTTATTTAAGTTTTTTAAATGTACATTTTCAAACATACCACAAAGGAGGAAGACAGTATAATTAATCCCCTGGACTCATCACCCAGCTTCAATAACTGGTAACCTTTTGCAAATCTTATTTCATCCATCTCCATCATGACTGTTTTCGTGTGGAGTATCCCAAACACCATCTTATTTCACCCATAAATACTTCACTATGCACTGATAAAGATATCAATGAAGACTTTTTAAACCACCACCACTATCATACCCAATGCAATTAACAATGACTTCTTAATACAATCTCACACACAGACCTTGTTAAAATTCCTCCAATAGTCTAAAAAATCATTCTACAGTTGTACAGTATTTTTAACATAAGCACGCTATTCCCTTGTATAATTTAGCCAATCCCCTAATGTTGGTCATTTACTTTATTTCTAATGTTTTGTTACTATGAAAAACTAGTTAAATCTTTACATATATTCTTAATTATTTATATATAGTAAATTCCTAGGTTTTAGACTGCAGGTTTGAAAAGTAATGAGATTTAAGGCTTTACATTTATAACTACACTTCCCTCCAAAGGCACCACTCCAATTTATACCCACATCCTTGATGATAAAATATTTTATTCCTTATCATAAAAATCACATTTCACTCAAGTTTTCTCTCACTTTCCACAAATAGTTTTTGTCACTTAAAGACAGTTACTGTGTAAAAAAAAAAAAAAAAGTTACTGCTTAAACAACTTAAGAGCAAAGCAATTTTAAATGCCTTTGGCCTGAGCTAATTTACCAGCTAAATTATTCTAATTCTTGAATCCTCAAAATGATAAATTACTACATGTCATGGACCTTAGGAGTCAATAGTGGTAAGTAAAATGTGCCTGTGAAGTCTTAAGACGGTTGAGGGGGCATAACCAGTGATGTGCTGGGGTTAGGTAATTGTGCAGATCTCTTCCCAATTTCAACTTCCTGTTTAATGACATCAAGTTGGCAGCTTGTAATTAGCCACACTGAAAGTATTTACACTCAGAAACGTGCAAATGCTACAAACCATCCTCCTCCTGCCAATAATTAAACATTGTTTCTGCTGCTTTTAAGGTATAAATTCCTCCATCTTTCTCAATTGAAATTAAAACGTTTTATAAACTGAAGAGTATAAAACATAGTTTCTTTATGCCATTCACACATTAACAAAATGCAAAAACATTAATTTACTTTAAGAAGAGATGCTGTTTATTTTTCTTTGTAGTCAGCTAGTCTCTTCAGCACTAATACAATCTGCAAATTGTAAACTATTTAAGATCATTATTAGTGCATTTAAAAATTCATGTCTGAACAGATTTAAGTACTTGCAAAATGACCAAACCTCAGTCTCTTTAAAGGGCTTTAATTTCAAATATTATAGTTACTTAGTTTTATAAGCCAAAGATACAATCATGAATTAAGAACATAATGGCTAGTAATGATATACATTAACTTCAAAACGTTTTGTTTTTATAGATAGACTATGCCAGATCATATGGTTGCCTCTAGTTCTTCTGACTGGGGACTCTTGTCCTTATAGGCAATTCGGTGGGAGAATCAGGGAAAAGGGGAGTTGAAGTAAGAAATCATCAACCTACAAACTGAACTAGAGGCAACATGGTCTATCATAATCTATTTGTAAAATATCTCAAAAGTAACAATATTATCTTAGATATAGACGGCAGACAGACCTGGGTACAAATTCTAACTCCACCGCTTTTTAGTTCAGAGACTTACTCAGCGATTCTAAACGGGCTGTTACTATCCCCTACAGTTGTGGAAATCTATGAAGGCATTATTTTGTCACAAAAACTGAGGGGCACGAGGAGGTGCTGAGGATGCTAAGTTCTAGAATGCCCCAGAAATCCTATACAGTTGAAGAATTATCTTGCATACAACATTCTGATGTACCACCAGATAGTCACAGAGATAAATATATGGTTGTATATACACTAATTTTCTAGGAAAGCAGCTACCCCAAAAAAAAAAAAAAAAAAATCAAAGGATGACTGTTTCTGTTTTGTTCAAAAATTTACTAAGAGTTCGTCACCATTTTGGAAAATCATGTCACTGAACAATGAAAACCCTACGGGAAGTATAGTTCTACTCTGACACACATGGAGTCGCCATCAACTCTACAGCAACTGGATATGTATATCTACATATGTATATACAGATACATTTATATATATACATATGTAAACACATACATAGTAACATATAAACATCTTACTACTTCATTATGTCTTCTAGTATAGCTGTGCTTGAGTATTCAACTATTATATATACTTTTTATTGTTTTATTTTTATTTATTTTACAAGTGGGTGTTATGATTTCTTAAAAATTATTTAGGAACAGTAAAGTGTATTACAGAACACTTGTTACAGAAAGAAATGTTGTTTCTGTGTCTTTTAGTTTCTTCATGGTGACAGCAGGACTTACTTTATAACATGCTATGAATATTACTAGTATTTAGTAAGTGCTCAATAATGAATGTTGTTTATTACTATTTTCATTAAGTTTATAAATCTGGTTTTAACAAGTTTTTACCATTGCAGAATAAATGCAGTAAACACTCAAGTATTAATACCTTTTTCCTTATATTGAATTAGTTCTTTCAAAACTGAGAAATTAAAACTGGAAAAGCAAAAAAGGCTTATCTTTTTTTCTAATAAATAACTATAAATAAAATTAAGGATGAAGATTAAATGAGTTGCATAAAAGAATTATAATTCCATGCTCTCTCTATATATGTGCATATATACATATACTATCTTGTTTAATATCCATATAACCAAAGCATATTACTTATCACTTAACAGTAATAAATTGCTTAAATTGCTCTGCAGAATTGTATGCAAAACCTAAATTTTTTACTTAAAGAATCATATAATAAACTTTCCCAGAAGAGAATTGTTTTTGGATTGTGTGGCTTAATAATACTAAGTCACAACCAAACTCACTGGCTCAAATTTATTTTACTGTCAGGAAACTAGTATGATGAATAGCACACATGTAAATTGCAGGATGATCTGTAAGGACCACAATTTACATGACATTTATGAATCGCTTCCGCATAGTTTCCAAGTTTCTATAAAATGGAATAGGCTCTTGGCTGGGTAGGATTTGTATCAGTCTTCCACTCTCTTTTACTTCAGTATCCTTGCCATATACAGAAAACTCCTTTCTTCTACTTTTGTGATTCTATGCACTAAGATGAAATACAATAGTGATAATGTTGACTCAGATTGAAGGCCAACAACAACAACAAAAAGATGATGGCAATGACTGACAGGTGGAAAAATTAACTAGTCAAAGGCTGTCATAATATAAATATATTTGGTTATCAAAATTATTAATTAGTCATGGAGGGGAAATTGATTTCCATAGAACAGCAGTTCCCAAAATGCAGTCTACAGGAGAATCACCTGGAGGGCTTGATGGGCCACAGGTTGTTGGGCTCGGGCCCCCAGGGTTTCAGATTTAGTCAGTCTGGGGAGGGCTGGACCATCTGCAGATCTAACAAGTCCCCAGGTGATGCTACCCTGCTGATGCAGCGACCACATTTTAGGAACCAAGATCCCTGTGGTCACACCAGTGCTTAGGGATAAAAGCCTTGCTCTTGTCAAGATAAATTTAGTTGTTACTGTTATAGATGCCTAAAAGAAGACAATGTGTTAAAAACTTTACCAAACGCGTGTTTATAACTATACCCAGCACAAGGTCCTATAAAAAACTCTGAAGACTAACTTAATACATTTTTTCCATACATGAAAATGAACTGAAGTTTTACTGGATTTGAAAGAATAAACTAGAGATTTCAAAAAAAGTTTCCTATTTCCCCCATGAAATAAAGGCAAATTTCTCTGTGTTTAGAAGTTACATTAGGCTCATAATATAACTTACAATGATCTCATTTCCTTTGTGAAATTAAGCTGGGTACAAATAATAAAAACTAACAGAATAAGCTTTTGCAAGTGGAATCTAATAATTAATTTAAAAGGAGTTCAAAAAAGACACCTGATTTCTGGAAATACTTAAATGGCATATAAAAAGAGAACGTACATGAGATGCTTACCCCCTTTGGTTCTGGAACAATCAAATGTGTACACTTCTTATTGAGGTTCAGCTGGCACTCCCCACCATGGAATGTAACCAAAGCCCACAGAGCACTTCGGTCTTCAGATGACACCTGGTAGAAAGTGAGAAGACAGGGCTTTATCGTACATTTTAATCTCTGTGCATTTATCTTTTTACTTTATTATTAGAACACATTGTGATATCCTAACTATTTTGCTTTATCTACTTTTCTGCTTTATTAAATGAAATTAACCTAAGGGTCTTAGTGGGAAAAACAGATAAGCTTTTAGCTATTATTATAATAAAAACTATATTCTTGTCATGATAGTTTTATAGATATAAATCTTTTTTTTGTCTTGTCACCAAACAAATCAAAAATACTTATATTCCAAAGACTGAATGGAGGATTATTTCAGTCTGTAACAAAAATGATGGGGGAGTCGGGGGTGGGGGGCAGGGGGAAGAACCAGTACACCATTCCAGCCTCTATTTGTGTAATTTCTGAAACTGTTTAAATACAACAGCAATATCAAAACCACATTTAAGAAACTCCTTAATCACTAATGGAAAACAAATACTAATTATGAAATGGATAAAATAAAAACATAAAAATACAATTGTTTGTAAGTGCAGGGGAAAATGTAAATATTATTTAACACAAAGAAAAGACAAGCATAAAAGGAATAATTCTTATGCTTGCATAATGATGAAGTAAAGACTCCAGATATGATGGTTTATGTTTTAAAACAGGCTTTCACTATAATGATAAGAACAGCTACCATTTATTGCCTGCCTACTATGTGCCAGGAACTGTGCCAAGTGCTTTATATATATTCCTAATCCCTACAACCACCATGAGAAACAGGACTCATTAGTCCCATCTTAGAGACAAGGACACAAACTCAGACAGGTTAAGTAATTTTCTCAAGATGAATTAAAATCTGGAAAAGTTGGCTTTTAAACCCAGGCCTGTCTAAACCCGGGTCTAACTCTAAACTGTATCTTTCCACTGTTCGATACTGCTTCTCTAAGGACAGTCACTATTAGCAAAGCCAAAAATAATGTCTACAGTTAAAACTTTAGAGTCTGAAAGGCAAAAGAAACATTTAAGAAAAACAAAGGTATGTTAATTCTAAGGTAATCATTTAACCAAGTGCATTTTCTTTCTGGATAAATTTATTGTTGAGGATTATGACTGTTGAAAAATCTTGAACTGTCTTGTTATCATTCTAAAACGTATTGATAAATAGGTTAATGTCTTTTTTTAATTGCCACTATTCAGTTTGCCAAAATTCTGACATACATCTACTCTCATCCATCTCACAAATATTTAAAGAAATGATTTCGCATTCCACGCTACTCTATGAATCCTAAGATCATGTTAATTTTATAAAATCACCTCTAAAAATCATTATTTTATATCTTTTTAATTTAGTAAGTCGACGTCACATTTCAGTAGATTAGATCAGGTTTGTCATTTTATTAGAGACTTTTGAAAAAACATTTATATCCTGCAGCATTTGGAGAGTTGAGACTGAATTGCGATAATATAGGTTAATCTAATGAATCATTACTTAATCTTTATTAAAAGTGAAATTAAAAAACATAATCTAGATATGCCTTTATTACCAAGATTTGGCCATAAGTCAATTAAGTATTATCTTTATTTTACTGACTGCAGTAAATATAGTCCTATAGCATCGGTGGCCTATGCCACAGGCGTAGATCTCAACAGGGTGCACTATGTTGCTGTGGAAAGAACACCAGGCAGGAAGGAAGAAGGGGACTGGGAGGCAGTACTGTGTCTCCCACAACAAACTCATCTTAGCTCGGAAAACGTCCATGAACCAGATTCTTCATCGAAGTACGTCTGGATTAAATGACCTCTAAAAACCATACCAGCTCACTGAATGAGTATCAACATTAATTAATTATTAGGAATGCTCTTTCCACACCAAAATGTTAACAATAGTTATCTAGGGTGATATGATTATGGGGACATTTTTATTTTCATTTTTATACTTTTCTGTATTTTCCAAATTTTCAAGATCATTAGTTTTAAAATTGGGGAAAAGTGCTTTTCTTTTTTTAAAGCAATCTTTCTAAAACACAGGTCTTATCATTTTGGTTAACAAAGCTTTGATGTCTCCTCAATGCCTTAAGGCTAAAATCCAAAAAGCTTCCAAATGGTGTCTAAGGCCCTTCATGACTTGACTCCTTACCACCGCCTTTTGTTCACTAACTGCTTTCCCACATGCACCTTCAACTACAACCACATTTAACAACATTCCTCAAACATGCTCTGCTTTCTGTCTCCACGCAGTACTCAGCCCTCAACTCCTGCTCCTCCAAGACTCAGCTCAGGTATCACTGACACTATATTCCCACAGCATGCTATACAAAATTCTAAATACTTATCACACCATATAACTGTATGCTTACCTGTCTTTCCCCCCACTACACTCTAAGAAACTAGAAGCTGTGGACTTTCATTTCTTCTGTTTCCCCTGTTAAATAGATGCTTTCCTTTATACCAAAGGAATGTCCTCCTTTCTCTTTCAGGTCTGACCACCCCTAATAAAACCCTCCCTGATTCTAGCGTGCATGGATTTCTCCTTGTTCAGTATCATGAACTATAATGCTACTTACTGAAGACTAAAGTCTTGGATAAGAATTATGTCTTAAACATCTTGGATATCTTTCATAGTACCTAGTACAGTGCAAGGCACATGGGTAGGCAGTCAAGAAATATGTGTTGATTGAGATGCAGAAATGGAAAGGACTTTTATTTTTCATCTTCTAGATTTAAATTATGACCCTGGCCAGGCTCTCCATTACACTCTTGACCTATTCCCAGAAACCTACCCAGCACATTACAACAGAGGGCCTCAGCCTGCATCAATACCGGGTCAGAAGAAGGCAGATGGTCTCTGTGCTTTCCAACTTCTGCTGGCACAATCTCCCTTCCCTACCTCTCCCTGGGAGATCTCTGGAAGACTCCAACAAAGAGCTCCAGCTTGTATCAACACCCTGACAGGGGAAAAGACAGAAGGGTCACTAAGAACCACCAAGCAAACATTCCTTTTTTAAAGGCGGAGTCCTGCCTGGTACATGCGTGTATGTGTGTGCGCACACACAGGTGTTCTAGCATTCAAAAAAAGGTACCAGTACCTCAGACAGTCTCTGATCAGTGCAGAGAACAGAGCAATGGTTAGCAATCATTATCCGTCCCTCCTCTGTATTATTTCTATACTTAGCACCCACTTTTATTTTTGCACATGTTACAATATACTGTATTTGTTCACATCTATCTCCCCCTATAGACTTTAAGTTTACTGAGGGGAGAAGTTGCATCTTTATCTGTATCCCTAACCCCTAGCATTGTTTCTGACACAAAGGAAGTATTTGTTGAACCAAAGTCCCTTAGCTATACACTATACGTATGTTTGATAATACATCTTAAAAATGAACGAACATTTGTTAGTAACCACAAAACATTACTGCCTCCCAATGCACAACTAAAATTTCCAGGATTCTTCATATCAACTACTGTCAGGTAAGATCTTCCTATCCATATCTGAACAATCTTTCTGAACGTAAAAGCAGGGCTTTGTATGTTACCCTGCTATATTACACACTGGGGGCTTCAATTCATCACAAGTGATAGACTGTGATAGTAAGTGCAATAAATGATTCACAAAGATCGTATCAAATTCTGATTCTTGTTACCCAACGAAATTGCTCATGCTAAATTCAAGTTCTTTATGTCTACCATAGACCCAGCCGCTCCCCTCAATGATTTTAGCACCTACATAAAATTCCCCTTTTCAACTGAAAGCTGGGGAGCAGTGTCTGCACTCCGTGTGTCACCAGCAGGGACACTTCCCAGACCTCATAATCAAATGACACTATTCTTCCTTCAAGAATCTAGACATGAATGTTCTCTGGCCACAGCTTCCTCACCTATAACATTTTTCTTCACGGGATCACCATTCTCCCCTCACCCTCCGCTAACTATACTGCTGTGTCTTCTCAGTCCAGAACCCAAGATCTCCGTAGACCCCTAAGTATGGTCGCCGAGTCCTGTGTCACTTTTCATCATCTTTTTTTCCTGGGTTACAGAACAGGACTGAGAGAACACATGGGACTATGTACACCTCTCTGTTACAAATTCATGCTCTGAAACTTTACCTGGGCCATTGCTACTGTCAACAATAAAAATGAAAATGATTAAGTCTGACTTTATCCTTGGCTTCTAAAAATAAAATTCTATGTCTCCAACAGTCTCCATTTATTTTCAAATTCCTTTTCTTTTCAAATCTCCTTAACTACGTATATTACCCAAAGCTCTATTCCTGGTTATCTGCTCTTACCTCTACTATCCTTTGGAGGAATTAGTAATTCTCAGCACCTTCACGACACTGTATCTTCAAATCCCTACAAGAGATTTCCATTTGGATAGCTGATCAACACCCCAAATTCAATGTGTTTCAAACTGTTTCTAGTTTCCATTTTATACCTTCATTTACACTGTGCTAACCTTAATCCACATCTTCTTCACCTGAAGTCTAAAAAAGATTGCAAATTTCCATCTTGCCAAAACTCCAATCTCTACCCTGCCTTCATATGTCACACTCAAGTTCCATGACCACTTTGTCCTACAATGATCACAGGTGATTCTCTACTACTTTTTTCTGTGTTTTCAAAATTTTTCAATGCAAACATTTGTAACTTAAAATTAAATAAAGGAAGCATCCTGTTGACTACTCTATCAAGCTCAAACTCACATACTTAGATTTCAAGGTTTTCCATATTCTCTACCCATCTACCTACCCAACCTTTGGCTCTATACCCAAATATATAATCTTAGCTCTGACATCAATCTCCTAATAAATGAGCCACATGTGCCTTCCTGTTTTTTCCTTCAATTTTTCTTTACATGGAATGCCCTCCCTCTGTATCCTATTCTTACTAATCTTGCCTATTCTTTCAGATCCAATTCAAATCTTACATCCTCTGTCAAGTCTCTCCTAACCTTTCCAGCTCATGTTAATGCCTTCCTTTTCTGAACTCATATACTAATACCTGTGCCACTAGATTCAGCATATCATATAGTATGTATTATATATACTATAATCTTATACGTATCTTATATAATAGTCTTTTGCAAATGGTTAGTGCACTCAACTGGTTGGAGGTCAAGTCCACCCAGAGGCATCTCGGATAAAGTCCTGGTGATCTACTTCTGAAAAATCAGCCACTGAAAACCCTGTGGAACACAGTTCTACTCTGACACACATGGGGTCACCATGAGTCAGAACTGACTCAATGGCAACTGGTATAACCTGTGTCAAATATAACTATTAGTTTTTTTTCTCTCCAAGAATAAAAATATTCCACCTAGTGCTAAACTCAGTTAGCATTTAATAATAGCTAATTACCTAATTTAAAACCCTCTAATTATCTTATACACATACTTTTTATTTTATTATTCATTTCCCCAAGTCAAGTCTGCTAAGCCTAGATCCCTGAAGAATATCCACAGTGCTCCTCTGCACCCACCCCAACTCTCGATGGCCCATCTTTCCCTCTTGCTTTCTCATTCAATTTGAATCCTCTCTGGGTAGTGGATTTCTGAATCTGAAGCCCAGAAATCCAATCAATATGAAATATAATTTAAAAAAATTCACATTTTAGCCCAAGTACATTGTGTTTATGCATAAGCAATATAGTAATAAAATGTTTTCAATTTTAACACTTTTCTGATGTTTACTGTAAATTTGGAACATACAGAGAAGTATAAGGAAAACAATAAAAATTACATGTAATCATAGCACCTAGTGATAAAAAAATTTTCATTTTAGCCAACTTTAAAGATCATCATCATCATCATCATCATCATGTAAATACACATTTATAACCGACATGAAAAACACTGAAAAATACAAATACCAACAAAATTGCTGTTCCTAAGGGGGGAGGGGGAGTCAATTTTGCTTCTTTAAGAATCTCCACCAAATTTATGTAGCAAGAAAAAGAAAGTGGAAAAAAAAAAAAAAGAGGATTTTATCATTTTAAAGAACTTCCAAAATTTATAACACAAAAAACAAAAGCATAGTAACCACTGTTAAACTAACTTATTGACTGGACAAAGACGGCATCAAATTTAGGTTGGTAATATCATCTGTACTAAAAGCTGAGTCCGCCCTAAAATCTAACAGTGTTAAAGTAAATATGACCTGGTTCTATAACCTCTATTACAGAGAAGTAACAAAAAAATTAAGACACTTATCAAAGCGTATTTCATTTCTCTCAAAGCTTTCAGAAGTGATGGAGGACTAAATACTATCTCAAAAATATCTTCTTGAGAATATCAAAATTACAGATTAGGGACTGGGCCTTTGTCAAAATGACAGCACTCTATGTTGTGGTTTTTTTCCTGTTCAATAACCACTAATTTTAAATAAATTATTCTATGTAATTTTTAAAACAAACGTAACAGTACAAGCTTAATTTTTTAAAATAGTTTTTATGGTTTGAGGTTTTTTTTTTAACTAAGGGCTTGGGAGAACAGAATAAAAAAATTAAATAATCACTTCTCTCACTACCCAGAATTAACCACTGTTAACACTTTGGTCCCCCTTTCAGATACTTCCTGCTTTATGTGGTTGATATAATATTATCATACCTATTATATATCTTTTGCTTTTTTCCCCACTTAAAACATTTTTGATGTCTTTATATATCTTCATAAAATATAATTAAAAAATGGCTACACAGCTAGACTCTTGTATAAGTATATACAAGAGGTTTCTTAACCTTTCCCAAATACTGGATAATCTGATCATGTCCAATTTTACCCTTTTATATAATGATGCTGTGTTGAACACTTTTATGCATCAATCTGTCCTTATTTCTATCAACTTGGGATAGATTTCTAAACATAAGAGAACTGCAGGGGAAAACGGAATGAGTACTTGAAGACCCCTGATACTGCTAAACTTTTCTAGAACACTGTTACACTGATCTGCACTCCCGCCAGCAGTAGGTAGGAGTGTTTGTCTTAGACATCTCCACCAGCATTGAGTATGCTGTTACAAATTGGATAAGCAAAAATTTTTATCTCACTGCTATTATAATTACCGTGTCTTTGATTATAAACCTGTATCAAACGTTTTGTTATACTTATTTGCTATATGTAGTTTCTCTTTATGAACTATAAATTCACTTCTTTGACTTATCTGCTGAGATCCTTATTATTTTCTCTTATTGATCTGTATAACACCTTTATTTACTAAGAAAATTAATTCTTTATCTCTAATTCTGACGGAATTTTGTCATCTTTCAATTTCATTTTCAACACTTTTTCCATATTCAAGTTTTAAATCTTTGTAATTTTTAAGACTAGAGAGGACAATTATCACCTGTTAAAAACTTTTAATCTTAAAAATAAGCATGAATATTTAAATAATCATAAGTATGTCATAAGTTCATATTGAATATGCAGTCAGTTTAGTCAATAGCTTCTCTAAAACTGGTTATCAAATAGGTCATAAATCCAATCATATAAAAACTCAGAAGTTTATGTGTACATAATACAAGGCTAATTATAATCATGCTTACCTGAGAAAGGCAGGCAGTGACTCCAAAAAAAATCTGACATGACTCTGGAGAAAAACCATTTACTCTGTTTTATAGTTATTAAGATTACAATGGAATAAGATTAGTGCAACCTGTCCCTCACTAACAGACACATCTTACTTGCCCATGTGAACATTACCTGCTTCCTGCCCAGTTCCCTCCCTCCCTCCCTCGCAGTCAATCCATTTAGGAAAGAGACAGCCTTAAGCTGACCACAGAAGAATACAAAGCAGACTGGAATAAAGAGAAACAGGAGCACAAAGAGAACTGAGAGGTTTTCTATGAAGTACATTTTAAAATTCAATCTCTCCACTTATCAATGGGTATAATATAGTTACAGGGAAAAGCATTTGGTCTCTGATAGCTAGCTTATTATATACACATACACACACACACATACACATATATAACAATCATTTTACAAATTAAAACATGTTTTTAAAATTTATTTTAGAATGAAAGGTTAATGTGATTACTTCTGTGATATAGTAGAAAGAATCCTTTATGAAAGAATTGAGGTTCTAGATTTATTACTACCACTAACTTTGTGAACTTGGGCAAGACAACTCTGAGCTTCAGTTTCCTCTTTGTTAAACCGTGAGTTGGAATATGTAATTTCCAAGATCCTTCCCAGTTCTAAAGTTCTGATTTCTAAAATCCATTCAGCATAATTACTGAAAGCTTACTATGTGCTAGACACTTAGAACATGGCTATAAATATGGTAGACATGGGCTCTATGAGCCTGCACTATATAGTCTATTCAAAACAAACACAATGACTTTTTTGAAGTTTGGAGTGTCTAGAATTCAAAATGGGTTAAAGAATTACTTCTCTTTTCTGACAGGTGAAAACTGTATGTTAGACAGGTGAATTAAGAAAAACATAACAGACTGAAAATTCTATTGCAATTCTGAAGTTTCCTATACAAGTATACTGACAAATCTTATAAAGATTTCCTGACTGTAATAAACTGTAGACTCAAACATGACTCAAACCACCCCATTATCCCAAGATTAGTTTCCATCTTCCTACTAAACAGATCATGGATTTTATATTTCCAAAGACTTGGGGGAAACACTGGCAAAGGCAAATCTCAGCATATGTTGTCTACCAGAGTCTTGGAGGTTCCCTTTTCTGTTTCCTTTAGGCTTCTTTAGGAGAGGCAAGTAACAGCTCAAAGGAGATGACAAGCTCTGAAGGAATTCTTGTGTGGAGTTAATGATCCAGAACAGGAAGAACTAGCCTCTTCAAAAATACCCATTCCACTCCTAATCTTTTTTAACCTGCTCTTATAAAGCAAAAATAAAACAAAAAAACCTAAATATACCCCTCACCCCACTCCACCCCCCAAAATAAACAAGGAAAAAAACCAACACTGGGAACTGATTTCCTTCAACTTTCATATGAGAAATCTTAGAATATTTGAGTTGGAGTTGCTAATGTTCTGCACAAAATCCAAGAACTGCATTTAAAGAGCTATTTTCTGTTCATTTGAGGTCCCCTATAAATATTTAATTATAATAAGATTCCTTCCATCCATATTACTTCCATAGGTAATAAATGCATTCAAAGGAACTGCCTTGCATAGCTGCGAAATAAAATACGGTGAAAGACAGAATCTCTCACCCAGATTTGTATGGTATTAAATACTCTTTAAAAAAAGATTTCCAAATTCGAGTTATGCTCAAGAGTAAATCTCCAGAAAATGAAGATTCATACTTTCATAATGAAATAGGAGCCATCAGACTTAGAATAGTAAACAGTAGGCCTGCAAAATGCCTCACTCCTAACATCTAGCACAGTCCATGGGACAGTCACACTTAAGAAATGTTGAACGAATGAGTGCAGGCGTGCATGCGAGAAAGCTCTTTGAGGGCAGAAATTATGTCCTGTTCACACTATATTTTCAGCACCCAGCCCACAGCAGGTGTTTACATGTTTACTGAATTTATAAACCTTCTATTTAGTATAATTAAAAAGAATAACAGTGTATATTATAAAACTAAACATTTTCCTCTGATGCTGTCTTCCCCAATCCACCCTTCAAATAATTCATGATTTGGTCTAGAATTTTAGAAATATACTGTCTAGCTACACAACATAAAAGTTATCTTTTTCAGATAAGAAAACTAAGGTCCAGAGAAGCAGATTGCCCAAGATTTTAAAGCTGAGTAGTAGAAGAACTAGAATTTGTGCCTCAGTGGTCCTAGCCTAGAGCTATGTCCACATAGCTGGCCCTCCCCTTTTTACACGAGTAATGACAAGGATCAGTTACATAAAATTTGACACAGGATAGAAAATAGGAGGGATACAGAGTGGAGACAACACAATTCACCCTAACTAATAAACCCCCTGTGCATTAAGTATCACTTCAATTTTACACTAGGAGCTACCCTTTCCTTTCTTCCCTCCCCCAAAAAAGGATACGGCAGAAGAGTTCCACACTGAACGGATAATATCACCCAAGAAGGCTGAAAAACAAAATATTAACTTGATCAAAACACATTTTCAATTTATAATCAAAGTGACATTACTTTAGTAGCACTGCTCATAGAAATTAAAAGGCTATAAAACATCCAGATAACAATTATGAATACTCAGGTAGCAGGAATATCACAGTTAAAGATTAGTTAATTAATGTCCAAAATAAAAAGTCCAACTATAGAATTAGGCATTACTTGATTTTTTAAAAAATTACTCCATACAGAAATTTAAATTTGCGGTTTACATACTTATAACTGCGTAAGCCTCTAGGCCAGCAGGAAAACTGTCCTCAGAACCAGAGGGATGTGGCATTGCTACCCAGTCTGTCCCACCACTAGCTCCGCTCCACCCATGGAATAAAGTCGGCCCTCTTAAGTTCCCTTCTTGAATCCTGAATTCGATGAAGTCTAAACACAGGAGATTTCTTTTTTTTTTTTTTTTTTTAGCGTTGTTGTAGTTTAAATGAAGTTTACTTTTTTTTTTTTTTTTTTAGCGAAGCCAAGTAGATATAATGTTTGTAAAACACAAAATTTATTCTGTCTGGTAGTCATTTTATGAATTCCAAAACTAAGATTTATTATAAAACCTCAGATTAATGACTACCTTTTCAGGTAACTTGCATTTTTGAAAAATTATCTCCTCCATTTTTATATTTAATTAAAAAAAAATCACACTTATTATTTGCTCACAAAATTATCATGTAAAAATATAGTAATGTCTCATTTAGCTGGCTGACTTCCAG